CCTGGAACGGCTAAAAAAAACAGAAGATAATTTGTAAAAGACAACAGTCCAACTGACTACTACATGAACAGGCTCCCCTGGGAGCCATCATGGCAAGTGGTCAGGTCCCCTCATGGCAAACCCCCTTCCAAGACTAAAACACAAGTAGAATACATGAGCAGGTTGACCACGTTGGTCACCAAAAAGGGGAAGTGAGGAAAAAACAGCACAGAAGTTGTGAGCTAAGTCCAACCACATTCAATAGACTACTGGGCCCAGAGGCAGGAACATGGCCCCTGAGGACTAGAGCAGAGTGTGAAGCATCCAGCTAATATGAAATGAGGGGAGATGCACAAGAACACCCACACTTGCAGATAGTACCCATTTGACCTGGCATCAATGGCTGGATGATCAAAACACTGGAAGAAGAGAAAAAAAGAGTAACCCAGTACAATTTGGATGAACTTGACCTATGCCTGTGGATGCAGGATGACAAAGGGGCGAACAAATCTTTATAGTGAGGATCATTCCCACCCCCTTGGTACAGGATCAACAAGGATAGGGAACTTAAGACATTGGCTACCCACAATGTGGGAGCTACAAAGGCAAGAAGTGACTGGCTTACAAGCTTTCAATAAGGAACCTAGTTCCAGAGGGTACAGAGAAAGGTAGAATCTTCACTGAGTTGTTTCCAATCTGTCTGGATGGGACTGATAAAAGGTGAGGGGAGTAAGTCCTATGCGGTTCAATAGGGAATGATTGCTATCAGGTCTGACAGCGAGTGTTGAAAAGGTAAATGTAAACATTTTGTAAAAGGCAGTGAGTGGCTTATTTTGCAGTCTAGGAGCAGAGATCCCTGTAACTATCAAGGGAGAAAAGTGAAGCACTGGACCGTGTCCGGGAAGCAGTGACACCAGGGATGGAGAGGGGTTGTGTGCTGGCGCCCGGAGGGCAGGCGTGTGGGGTGTACCATTTGGTTGTTTGATGATGCATGCAAGGAACTGTAATTATTTCAATGAAACGAAATGATAGGATGAATGTAAAGATAATGTTCTCCCATATAAACTAATACATAATTCACAATAAAGACTTTAAAAACCCCACCAGAACTCACAAAATGAAAAACAAACAAAAGAGGTGGAGGGTTGTCTGGCTAGCCATTTCCTGAAATAAGAGAAGTTGAATGAGATGCTTTTTTGCGGTCAAACTGTCATCATGGTCTATATGGGGTTCTGGCTGCAAAGGCAAAACATTTCTCATATTACTCTCCAAATTTCAAATAATTGAAAAATTTTAGAATAGAAAGGTTAACTTAAAGTTCACCCAGTCTTGCTGGTTCACCACCTATACCTTTGTTTCACATTCCAAGTCTATTTTGAAATTGGAAAAACTCATCAAACATAAGAGTAGTTTCATGTCTAATCCTTCGTAAAGGTTGGAGCAGAATTTGAAACAAACTTTCCCAAATTCTAGACTGTGAATGCAAGGGCAGAGAAGACAATAATACAGCTGGTAGCAGTCCTAGCAGGACCTACTGGTTGGATTTTGCTCACAACCAGGCCTTCTACTTCACTAAGTCTTGTCTGTATCCAGTCTCAGGTGTTGGGGCTCTTAACCAACACAAGTAGGTAGAGTTTTGGCTGGCCTGTTAATAGGTGCTCCAGTAGATTCCTGACTTGTAGAAACCTCCCCACTGACAGTACAACTACTCCATAGAGTTTTCTAGACTGCTATCTTTTATGGGAGCAGACTACTAGGGTACTCCCAGGGAACTGCCAGCGTTTTGGTTAGCAGTCTAGCACAAACTATGCCAAACTGGCAATATGTTTACAGTAGAATCTAAGTTGAGCGTGTGGATATTCACAGCAAAATGCTTTTTTGTTTGTACGATGGTTAAAGTTGTGTCAAGCCAAGACAGTTTGGTAATTTTCATTTAAAATTTCTGGGGAAAAAAGATATGGTATTTGAAAGATAATAAGATTAAAATTTAGAAAACCGTAATCAAGTCCATGAATACCCACTTCTACTTAAAAGCAAAACCTTTTTTTAGCCAGCATAATTCTGTAAAGATGTAGGAGCATTTCTGGTGGTCTCGTTAACAGGGGAGGAGCAGTGTGTTGCTGGCATATACAAGGTAGTAAGGACTGGGGAAGCTACCTTGACCACCAGATTGCCCACACTGCTAAGAATCTTTCTACACCAAATGCCAAGAGCACCTCCACTGAGGAACACCAACTTACACCCATAATCTTACCTTCATAAATCTTCCACTACTTGCTCATAGTATATGTCTCCTACTGGACTGACTTCTGAGGGTGTTCCATCTCCCAGATCCTTCAAACTGCAGAGGATCCAGCATAGCACTCTACCCAGAACATGCATCTAGCTTGATGATGGTTTGGGGTGGGGAGAGGGGGAGAAGGTGCTTCCCGAGTATTCCACCCATTCTCACTTCTAGGCAATTCTTTGTTTAGGCAGACTCAAGTCTACCCTGCCCCCGTCCCATCCCATTCCCTCCCAGAGAAGTCAGTGGGAAAGGAAGTTTACCTGCCATGATACCACCTCAGACAGTGCCATGTTCCCAACACCATGTCCCCACTCGATGCCAGACTACCATCTGGCACCAAGGGCAGGGACAGGTACTTGAAAGTAACCACTATCACACAACGCTGAGAAAAGCCAGCATAAAGCACTTTTATTGCAATAATAAAACTTGAAATTCTTATGTGGTGCAGAAGATGGGAGGAGGAGTGGGGCAGCAGCAACTTCTCTCACCAAATCACTACACAGGACAGCAATGGGCTAAGAGGGGGAAGGAAAAAGCCAGGAAACCGTTGAGATCAGCAGGGGGAGCTGAGCA